CAGGACCGGAACCTGCATTCTTACGGCTGCCAGCATGGAGGTGCCGGCCCCCACTCTGTTCTTCACCCCGAGACGTCTCTGTACACAGGGGTGGTGACGGTGCTCACCCCGCAGGAGTACACTAAGGATTCCCTGTCTGAAGCACGCACCGCAGGTCCTCCCGAGGTGCTGGCTACGACCGCTCCTGACTTCCCTGCCTTTATCTTTCACCACTCCTGGCTACGTCCCCAGTCATCAGAGTAACAGGGGCCGGCGCTGTGGTGCAGCAGGCAAAGCTGCTGCCTGAGAAGCCGGGGCTCCACTTCCAATCCAGCTCCCTGCTAACGGCCTGGGAAAAGCAGCCAGGCCCCTGCCACCCACATGGGAGACCTGGAAGAAGCTCCTGGCTTTGGCCTGGCCCAGCCCTGGCGGTTGTGGCCATTTGGGGAGTGAACCAGTGAATGGAAGACCTCTGTCTCTCCTTCTTTCTCGGTAACTCTGACCTTCAAATAAATCTTAACAAAATAATAACATTACATTGTGTCCATCTGGCCAGGAAGGAGCTGAGGGTTGGAGGCGTCAGTGCAAGCTGGGCTCCAGGTGGGCACTGCGGCACAGCAGGTGAACTTGCTGCGCGGGGCGCCCACATTCCTACTGGCTGCCTGGTTCGAGTCTCAGCTACTCATGCTTCAAATTCAGTTTCCTGATGAATGTGCCTGGGGGTGGCAGATGACCCAAGCACTTGGGTCCAGCTACCCATGTGGGACACCTGGACGGAGTTTGAATCAGTCGCCTCTGGCAGGCATTTAGGGAGCAAACCAGCTGATGGAAGATCTCTCTCTCTTCTTCTCCCTACTCTCTCAAACAAATAAAATCCTTTTTTTTTTTTTTTTTTTTAAAGCTAAGCTTCAGTACTGCCTCCTCCTGGAAGCTGTCTGTGACTCCACCTGCCCAGACATCCACGACTTGTGGGTCCCCACCTGTCCTACGGTGCAGAAGGCCTATGTCATGGGGAGCGCCTCCTGCCCTGACACTTTACAGCTGCATCTACAGCTGACCGTGACACTCCCTGCTCAGAACCCTCTCATGGGGCCGGCGCTGTGGTGCAGTGGGTTAACCCTCTGCCTGTGGCGCTGACATCCAACATGGGCGCTGGTTAGAGTCCCGGCTGCTCCTCTTCCCATCCAGCTCTCTGCTATGGCCTGGGAAGGCAGAAGATGGCCCAAGTCCTTGGGCTCCTGCACCCGTGTGCAGCTCCTGGCTCCTGGTTTCAGATCGGTGCAGCTCTGGCCAGTGAGGCTAACTGGGGAGTGAACCCGTGGATGGAAGACACCTCTCTCTCTCTGGCTCTTCTTCTCTCTCTGTGTAACTATGACTTTTAAATAAATAAATACATAAACCAATCTTTTTTTAAAAGAACCCCCTCTAATAGTTCCCACTATACCAGTGGAACGCCCATGTCCCCGCCATGACCCCGTGCACCTGTCAGCATCGGGCCCTGGCCACCTTGGCGAGTGCATCTCTCACTGCCTCAACTCCTGCGTTTCTCGCACCAGCACGTCCACGTCCATTTCACCTCAGGACCCTGCTCTGCTGTCCCCCTCCCCCACACCTTTGCAAGGCCAGCTCGTCTCTGCTCAGGTCTCTGCTCAACTGTTGCCTTCCACGGCCACCTGATTCCAAGATCCCCACTGCCCTCTCCTCAATCTGCCTCGAGCGAACCCGGTGCTTTCTGAAATTTCCATATTTATTGATCTGCCAATCCATCCATCCATTCATTCATCCATCCATCCACCCATCCATCCCCTATCCCCCCATCCATCCCCTATCCCCCCATTCATCCATCCATCCACCCATCCATCCCCTATCCCCCCATCCATCCATCCGCCCATCCATCCATCCCCTATCCCCCCATCCATCCATCCATCTGCCCATTCCTCCATCCCCTATCCCCCCATCCATCCCCTATCCCCCCATCCATCCATCCACCCACCCATCCATCCGCCCGTCCATCCATCATCTGTTCCTCTTCACTAGAAGGCAACTTCCATAACAACAGGGAAGACTCTTGCCTTCTTCACTTCTGTAACCCCAGAGCCGAGGACACTGTCTTGCACACAGTAGGTGCTTAAGTATTGCTCAGATGAACCAATGAATGAATGAATGACACCACCGGGGAGCTCCTTGGGGAGGCAGGAATGGGGAAGGCTGTGCAGGGGAGGCCCTGTGTCCCCCGTCCCAGGGTCTGCTGACCCTTGGTCAGGCAGCACGGGCTGGGCATGGGCACACTGTCCGTCAGTGGGGGTGAGTGTGTGTGTGCTCCGTCTTCCCGAGCAGCATGGCTGGGGCTCCTGCCTACAGCTATGGGGCATTTCCGAGGCATCCCGCCCAGTCTCCCAGTTGGGGCACGGGCCTGGGCATTGTGGGCACACGGTAGCTGTCTGCCGAGCCTAAGAATGCCAGGCCCCGGAGGCGAGGATGACTCAGCCCCTCTGCTCTGGGGCTTACAATCGTTGGCAGAAGCCTAGCATCGAACATAAAGGTGGTGGGGTGGGTTCAAGCAAACTTCAAGATGCCAAACTGACAGGAACCAGAGCAGACGAGCCGTGACACTGAGGGCAAAGGGAACCCCTGCATTTCCGGCTTGGCCGTGAACCCAGGGAGCACACCGGCCTCACTCACTGTGCATCCCTCTTGTTAGCATGTGACCTGGCCGGGTGAACACCAAATGCAAGAAGAGATGCGAGGCAGTGAGATGGGGCTAGGGTGAGAATGGGAGAACCAGGAAGGCAGGATTCCCCCTGCTGTATCCCGGGGGCAGGGGCTGGCACGCGGACTCCAGAAATACCTGCGGAGCCAAGGAACGAGACGTCTAGTCGGTGAGAACCATCGGGCAAACAACGGCTGCCTGGGTCCTTGCTGGGCTCCTACTTAGTAGTTGCTCGATTAATATTGGCTGATGCCCTGAGAAGTCTCTTGGTCTAAATAAGGCTTCTGGGCTCCACCTGGCCCCATTATTCATTCAACCAACCAGTCAACTTTTGAGACCCTGTGACAGGCCAGAGGCCCGGAGGACTCCAGGACGTGGGGCCGACTCCACGGGCCGACTGCTCTGCAGGGACACTTGGCATCACCAGAGACATCTCTGGTGATCACGGTAGCAGGGGCAGGGGGTGCTGCTAGCACCTACTGGGTAGAGGCCAAAGGTGCTGCTAAGAAATCTACAACGCAGGAGGCCCCTACTGCAACCTGGTCCCTGATGGCAGTAATGCCAGGGCTGACAAACCCTGGTGGAGGCGAGCTGGCTCTCTCTCTGTCCCTTCCTGGTCGACTCTGGCATCGTGGCTGCGTGGTGAGCACTACGAAGCCAGGCAAGGCGCGACGCCTGTCTCGGCCAAGGCAGGGCACTCAGAGCCATTGCCGAACTCCTGGATGCAGGCTTCCTGAGCTGCCAAGACTCGGGGGGCGGGGGAGTCTTTTGCTCCCTGACTGGGGGCAAGGCCTGCCCCACCTGGCCGCCCTCTCTGGCCCTGTGCCATCCGCTTCCCACCACCTGGGCTGGGCGGAAGGAAGTTTTGACTTACTGTTGATGGACTTGAGGTCCCGGTGGATGATGGGCACAGGGGCGTCGCTGTGTAGATAGTTCATGCCCCGGGCCACCTGCACGGCCCAGTTGACCAGCACGTGAGGGGGCACCCGGCGACCGGCCAGCACCCTGCTCAGCGCGCCCCCTCGGGCATATTCCATCACCAGGCAGAGGTGCGGGGGGCTGAGGCAAGCGCCCCGAAGGGCAATGATGTTGGGGTGCTGCAGGGCTCCAAAGAGCCGGGCCTCCTGGCGCACCTGCTCCGCTGTCACTGCCGGGTCCCGCTCAGGGTCCAGCCTGGCGGCCTTCACGGCCACCTCGTCGCCGCGCCACAGGGCCCGATAGACTTTGCCAAAGCCCCCGACACCGATGATCTCCTCCAGCTGCAGTTCGTGGAAGGGGATCTCCTGGGGCAGCTGGAGCCCCGCGGGCGCGGCAGGCGCGGCGGGGGCCACGTAGTTGCTGGGGAAGACCCCCACGCGGCCGCTCGCGAGCCGCCCGGTCCACCAGCCCTCGTCGCCGGACACGGCACAGTCCTGGGACAGCACCTGGACGCGGTCGCCCCTCCGCAGGGTCAGCTCCTCGTCGCCCACCGCCTCGTAGTCGAACACCGCGGTCCAGACGGGCCCCGCGGGGGTCGCGCCCCACTCCTTGGCCGCCGCCGCCCCTTCCTCCTCCTCCATGGGGGAGGGGCCGGGGGCTGCGGGAGGCCGCTTCACACTGGCTGCCCGCGGGATGCAGAGGGCGGGCCCCGGCGGCCGGGACAGGGGGCAGTCTCTGCGGGCTCTAGGGGGCTCCTGGGGGCCATGGCTGGGGGGCCTCCCGCAGGAGCAAGCAGCAGCCTCTGTGCGAGGGCAGGGTCGTCCCCTCTGATGCGTTTGTCCAGTCGGCGCGGGGTGGGGTGGGGCGGGGCGGCGGGTTCACCTGTCTCCCCCAGACGTCAGGGCGCTTAGAGGGCCTGGCCGCACGGTCCCCCGACGTCTGCCGGGGCCCGCCGGCGGCGACGAGGGGGAGGGCAGCAGGCCGCCCCCTCTCCCCGCGCCTCTCACCCCGCGCAGCTCCACCGGCGGCCCCCGGCTCCGCATCCCGGGCCACCACCGCCGGGTCGGGCGTGGGTAGCGGGACCCCGGGGGCGGCCGCCCCGGGCTGGGGTGGCGCGCCCCTCGGCCTCCTCACGCGCGGGAAGGCCGGGCGGCCCCCATCCTCGGCACTGGCCTCCCGGTTGGCCCCAGCCCCTGCCCCCGCCCGCGCCGCTTCCCGGCCTCCGGCGGTGCCGAAGTGACGTTCGCCGCCGCCGCCGCGGTGCCGCCTGGGAGTTGTAGTTCCCGGCTGCGCGGCCTAGGGACTCGGGCCAGCCTCAGGCCGCAGTGGGAACGCCGCGGGGCCGCGTGAGTCCTCCCGGGGAGAGATGCTCGGCCTCTGGCCCTCCCTCAGCCGCCTGAAGGAAGAAGCCAGCGCGCCTCACAGACCCCGAGGGGGCTGCGGCTCGGCGGGTGGGGTTAACCGCAACGGACGCGCTTAGCAAAGAGGAAAATAGGCGCCGGATGAGCGACAGTTACGGCTCGAAGCCCCGAAAGCAGCCTGGATGAGGTACCCGCGAATGCAGGCCCCTTTGGGCCCGGACTCAGATGCATGCCGGGAGATGTAGTCCGCCCTGGAGGCGGGGGGTGGGGACCCGGAGCTGCGGGGGGCGGACCCGCAGCAGCCGGCTGCGGGGGGCGGGCTTGTGGCTCCGCCGGGCTGGAGGGTCGGGCGGGCGGCGAGGCCCTCTGCGGAGGAGACGGGGCCTCACCCCCTCGGGGGTCGGCTGCCTCCGTCTGCGGTGGGAATTCTTGTGCGCACGAATCCACCCCCCAACCCCGCACCCCTCAATTTCTGAGGGGCTTCGTGTGCACCTTGCGCCCGTGGCATCACTTACCGCGGGACCCGGAGAGAGGTGAAGTCGCTTGTCCCCGGTGACCAGGCTATAAACAGCACAGCAAAAATCCAAAAGCAGTTTTAGAAGTTCACCATCACCATGAATTTTTTTAAAATGTTTTATTTTTTGTATTCAATGAATGCATTTTTACATAGACACAACTTTAGGAATATAGTGGTTCTTTTCCCCATACCCCCCCACCCCGCTCCCATCCCACACCACGAATTTTAGAAACACCGCCTTGCCATTTAAAGAGAAAGCCGAGTCCGGCGAGGGTCCACCGGCCTCCTCGAGGTTTGCAGGTTGGCGAGAGGTGGGATTGTGGGCCTTTGCTGGCCTCCGGGATGGACCCGGGGGTCTGCAGGGGCCGAGGCGAGGACAGCTCGCGGGGTCGCGGTTCCCCGGGCTCCCAGCGACCCCTGCTCGGTGGAGGAAGAGCCGCCTGGCTTCGTTTTGAGTACAGTGTCCTTGCTGTAACCTGCCTACGTGTGTTCTGGGGAAGCGCACCAACTGTGCCAAGACTTTGTGAGGAAGTTTTAGGGCCAGACTGGCCCCAAAGGATGCGGCTTCGTCACCGGGATGCCTCAGACCCCGGTGATGGCGCTCAGGGAAATGCTGACGCAGGTGAATTTCCACCGCCTGGAGCTCCGCACCACTTTGCCACCTTCAAGACTCGGGCTTGTTACCTCCTTCTTGGAGATGCTGGTTTGGAAATATTAAATTAATATTGTTTAATGGAAGGGAGAGAGTGAGCGGGGGAGCCCTTCCATCCGCTGGTTCACTCCCCAAATGCTCACAATGGCTGGGGCTGGACTGGGCTGAAGCCGGCAGCTGGGACCTCAATCCAGACCTCCCCGGGGGTGGCAGGAATCCAGGATCCATCATGGCTGCCTCCCACGTGTGCGTTAGCAGGACGCTGGAAGCACCAGGACTGGCGGTGGGGGCGCTTAACTGCTAGGCCAAATGCCCACCTTGGAGTCACTCCCTTAAAAAAAAACCTACTTTTTGGCCGGCGCCGCGGCTCACTAGGCTAATCCTCTGCCTAGCGGCGCCGGCACACCGGGTGCTAGTCCCGGTCGGGGCGCCGGATTCTGTCCCGGTTGCCCCTCTTCCAGGCCAGCTCTCTGCTGTGGCCCGGGAGTGCAGTGGAGGATGGCCCAAGTGCTTGGGCCCTGCACCCCATGGGAGACCAGGAGAAGCACCTGGCTCCTGGCTCCTGCCATCGGATCAGCGCGGTGCACCGGCCGCGCCGGCCATTGGAGGGTGAACCAACGGCAAAGGAAGACCTTTCTCTCTGTCTCTCTCTCTCACTGTCCACTCTGCCTGTCAAAAAAAAAAACAAAAAAAAACAAAACTTTTTTATTTCAGATGCAGAATTACAGCGAGAGAGAGAGAGAGGTCTTCCATTTGCTGGTTCACTCTTCAAATGGCCTCAACAGCCCGGGGTGGGCTAGGCTGGAGCCAGGAGCTATGTCAGTGGCTGGACTGGAAGTGGAGCAGCCAGGGTGCAAACTGGCGCCCTTAGGGGATGCAGGCACCGCAGGCTGCAGCTTCACCCGCTCTGCCACAATGCCAGCCCCAAAGTCACATTCTCTAACATATTTAGTTTAGTTTTTATTCTGAATTGTTAGTTCTCAGATAAATCTAGATTCCTAAAAGATTTACATGCTTTGTCTATGCTTTTAATTTATAAAAATGATTTTAAATACATTTCTATTTGTGTTCAACATTTTTTTTTAGATTTATTTGAAAAGTAAAATGACAGAGGGAAACACACACACACACAGATCTTCCACCTGCTAGTTCACTCCCCAAAGGCCCACAACAGCAGCCAGGGCTTGGCGAAGCTGAAACCAGGAACTGGGACCTCTGTCTGGTTGTTCCACACGGGCAGCAGGGCCCTAAGCGCTTGGGCCATCACCTGCTGCCCTCCCAGGCACGTCAGCAGGAAGCCAGATCAGAAGCCGAGCAGCTGGGACTCTGATGGCGGATCAATGCAACTTCTGATTAAATGCAATCCACGTCATTGTTTGTACATCGTGTGTGTTGCTTCTCATTGCTAGAGAACTCTAATTTTTATTTGTAAATTTTTTTTTCTTTCAACTAATATCAGCCTTTAAGCTTTTAAAGGTTTAATCGTCCCGGGGTAGGGGGATGCTTTCCAACGCTTCTCATGTAAACTCAAGTTCCAGGGTCTTCTTGGGCGTAGAACAGGCTTCTCTGTTTACAAGGTTGCCCTGATTTGCAAAAATTCCCCATATTTTCCCGCTGTATTCCTCGGTTCAACTCGGCTGCCACAATCAGACAAGCCAAACATGAGGACACTTTTCCTTGCACGTGTAGTAGATCACTCCAGTGTGTTAGCCTGTCACACTTACTAACAAAGACCTGCATCCCTTGATGTCTTTGAAACAACATTGCAATCAACACCCTTGCATTTGAATCCTTTGGGACTTGTGTGAGACTCTGGATTACATACCTAAAATTGGAGCGATTGGATCCTGAGATACGCGTGTTGAATTGCACCACTAGGGGGCGCGGTTAGTTCCAAATCCACACATTTTCGCTAACACTAGAACCCCCGGACCTTGCGGTTTTTGCCTCCCTTATGGATGCACACTGATCTGCAGTTTCCTAAGTGAGGATGCATGACGCCGAGCGGTTCTTCAGACTTCTTAGCCATTCGGGTTTCCTGTCCTACTAATTGCCTTTGTATCTTTCAAATTTGTATATTTCACATATTATCTTTTTTTTTTAATAAAGATTTATTTATTTACTTGAAAGTCAGAGTTACAGGGCAGGGGGAGAGAGAGAGAGAGGGGAGGGGAGGGGAGGGAAGGGGAGGGGAGGGGAGGGGAGGAGAGGAGAGGAGAGGAGAGGAGAGGAGAGAATATCTTCCATCCACTGGTTCATTCCCCAGATGGCCACAACAGCCAGAGCTGGGCTAGGCAGAAGCCAGGAGCCTGGAGCTTCTCCCTGGTCTCCCCCATGGGTGCAGATGGCCCAGGTACTGCTGCCTTCCCAGGCACATTAGCAGGGACCTGGATGGGAAGTGGAGCAGCTGGGACATGAACCGGTGCCCATATGGGATGCTGGCACTGCAGGTGGTGGCTTTACCTGCTACACAACAATGCTGCTCCCCCAATATAGTTAATGATAGTCAATTTATTTTTCACCAAATTTCTATTTTTCCTATTGGGTTTCCTATGGAATTGTAGGACTTTGTTTTAGATTCTGGGTATTAATCACTTGTGAGATTTTTTTTTGAGGTTCAAATATCTTCTCCCAGTTTGTCATTTATTCATTATTTTTCCCAGGCTTTATTGACAATTAGATATTTTATGTTTAAAGTGTGCACCTTGATGATGTGACATACATGTGTGTTATAAATATGCATCACAGGCCGGTGCCGCGGCTCACTAGGCTAATCCTCCGCCTGCGGTGCCGGCACACCAGGTTCTAGTCCCAGTCGGGGCACCAGATTCTGTCCCGGTTGCTCCTCTTCCAGGCCAGCTCTCTGCTGTGGCCAGGGAGTGCAGTGGAGGATGGCCCAAGTGCTTGGGCCCTGCACCCGCATGGGAGACCAGGATAAGCACCTGGCTCCTGGCTTCAGATCAGTGTGGTGCGCCGGCCGCAGTGGCCATTGGAGGGTGAACCAATGGAAGGAAGACCTTTCTCTCTGTCTCTCTCTCTCACTGTCCACTCTGCCTGTCAAAATAAATAAATAAATATGCATCACAAAAGAGCTAAATACCACGTGTCACCTCACATAGTTACTTCTTTAAAAATAAAAAGATTTATTTATTTATTTATTTATTTGAAAGATAGAGTTACACATGGAGAGAGGAGAGGCAGAGAGAGAGAGAGAGAGAGGTCTTCTATCCGCTGGTTCACTCCCCAATTGGCCACAACAGCTGGAGCTGCACTGATCCAGAGCCAGGAGCCAGGGGCTTCTTCTGGGTCTCCCACACGGGTGCAGGGGCCCAAGGACTTGAATCATCTTCCACTGCTTTCCCAGGCCACAGCAGAGAGCTGGATGGGAAGTGCAGCAGCCCGGTCTCAAACCAGTGCATGGGATGCTGGCACTTGAGACGGCAGCTTTAACTACTACGCCACAGCGCCAGCCTCTATTATTTCTTTTCTTTTGTGGTGAAAACAATTCAGATATAATTGCCGGTAAATTTCAAGCACCCAATGATGTAATGTTAACTACAGTCACATTGTTCTTTACAGGGTCTCTAGAATTTATCCTCTTGCAGACCTGAAATGCTGGGCCCCTGACTGACACCCGGCGTTTCCACTGATGCCCAGTAGCTTTGTGTGGAAGAGATGTTAACATTATCAAGCCCACCCCCTCTCACCATATGGTGTGTGCTTTCTTGGCTTCCGAGCCTTTACTCCAAAGCCATGCAGATATTTTCCGTTTCTCGATCAGCCGTCCTGTGTTGCTTTGTGTCCCCCAAAAGAGACAGGAAGTCCTAACCCCCGGAGCCTCGGATGGGACTATCTGGAGGTAGGGTCGTTGCAGACTAATTACTAAGGATGAGGCCATGTGGAGTTGCTAATGCACTGTGACATTACAACAAGACACACACACGCACACACACACCCTGCCACATGGCGACAACCACAGACATTGGAGGTGTGCAGCCACAAGCCAAAAACTCCAAAG